TTACAACACTGTTCCAGAACAGTTTAACCCAAATATCCAGATGTGTGCAGCACATTTTATGGAGGACTGTTTACTCATTCTGGGAGAGTAACGTTAGACTAAAATGCCGGCAGTTTTGACTCAAGTAGGATTTGCCACTGTACACAAAATAATGTTCTTTTTAGCAGCATCATATGACCCCTTTAACATATCATTGTATTATTTCACACTCAGTATTTTAACTTAAGCGCTCCAAGCCATGCATACAGCGCCGGACATGACAGGTTTTCTGGTATGCAAAACAAGTACTTTAAAGGAATTCCTTAGCTTATTGCCTTTACTGTGGCAGCCAACAACAGCACAGCTTAACCCTCCGCACATTTTTATACTTAGTTATTGAAAAACTTTCAATTCAGTCGATCTTTTTTTTTTACCCCGTTTTAACATGCATTTCTTTAGAGACCGGCCGTAGATGTCGGGCAAGATGTCCAGTGGCAGCACATAATATCCGCGTTCTGATTGGTCAGATCGCCTGTCAATCAAGCACTTTGCGAACGGTCAATTATAATTTAATTCAAAAGCAAAAAGAGAAAAGCAGTCACCCCAGATGGGACTCGAACCCACAATCCCTGGCTTAGGAGGCCAGTGCCTTATCCATTAGGCCACTGGGGCAGCAACTGCACAGCATTGAAAATGTTTCATACTTAACCAGTAATTCACGTGAAACGCTTCAAATGTGCAACTTTAGGTAGAATTTTTAATATCGCCTGCAATACCTTTCACGCCCGTTTGGATAAACCACCGCGTTTTTATTGCTGCACAGAAAATGCGTACTTAAAAACATCGATAAGTTAGCGGTTGGTAAAAGTCCGCTTTTTCAGAACGATGAGCTTTGTAAAAATCGACGCGTTTCAAAAAGGCGGGGCATAGAGGAGAAACAATACACAGTATGTGGAAAATAATGTTTTTTTTTACCTTAAACCGCATAAACACATTTCATTACACAAAATAATGTTCTTTTTAGCAGCATCATATGACCCCTTTAACATATCATTGTATTATTTCACACTCAGTATTTTAACTTAAGCGCTCCAAGCCATGCATACAGCGCCGGACATGACAGGTTTTCTGGTATGCAAAACAAGTACTTTAAAGGAATTCCTTAGCTTATTGCCTTTACTGTGGCAGCCAACAACAGCACAGCTTAACCCTCCGCACATTTTTATACTTAGTTATTGAAAAACTTTCAATTCAGTCGATCTTTTTTTTTTACCCCGTTTTAACATGCATTTCTTTAGAGACCGGCCGTAGATGTCGGGCAAGATGTCCAGTGGCAGCACATAATATCCGCGTTCTGATTGGTCAGATCGCCTGTCAATCAAGCACTTTGCGAACGGTCAATTATAATTTAATTCAAAAGCAAAAAGAGAAAAGCAGTCACCCCAGATGGGACTCGAACCCCCAATCCCTGGCTTAGGAGGCCAGTGCCTTATCCATTAGGCCACTGGGGCAGCAACTGCACAGTATTGAAAATGTTTCATACTTAACCAGTAATTCACGTGAAACGCTTCAAATGTGCAACTTTAGGTAGAATTTTTAATATCGCCTGCAATACCTTTCACGCCCGTTTGGATAAACCACCGCGTTTTTATTGCTGCACAGAAAATGCGTACTTAAAAACATCGATAAGTTAGCGGTTGGTAAAAGTCCATGTTTGTCATGTGTAGACCGCAGTAAGTTCTAGGTTTTTGCAATATCTGATTTCTAGAAATAAACAGACCACATAACGCGTGAACACTGGGTGAGATTACGGTACGATCCACGGTCGCACGTCGCAGCCTGCGCTTAAACCGGAGAAAGGAGGAACAACAGGCGCTCTGCCAACTTTATTTCCTGGCTGGAGAGACAGTCATGATATTAAACCCCATGTAACTTACCTAGCATTAGCCTGCCAGCTCTAGCCTTCTTAGAGGAATGCCGTCCTTTAGTTAGGCTTACAGTCTTTTCATTTAGATTAGCCAAATAACGCCAAGCACTATGAATTTATTACCATCAAATCCCCACGGTAATGGATTACTTTATGCTGGATTTAACCAGGATCACGGTAAGATTTTTACTATTAGCTAAAGCAAGCTAACATCACTCTTACCGTTACCGTTAAGAATCACAGAGGCCAGTGAACTGTTATTTATCTTAGACATCATCAAAAACGCATCCGTTTTTTGATTTAGATGTTGCAAGTCCAAACGTCTAGTTGTAAGATATATCACACTTCATAAACAAGATGACTGTTTTGCCTAGCAAGCTAACGAACTTGAACAGCTGGTTAGCCATAAAGATGAAGTCACATGAGTGTCTTTAATTTATTGTTTGTATTTTAATTGACCGACAGCTGTATATATATGCACATAAACGGCAATGTTCTTAAAAAGGACCACATTTCAACATATTATCAAATAAACATTGACAGCTGATGTAACCAGGCTAATGCCAGCGCTAGCTCTACAACTGCTATAGTGCGACTTTCAGGGGATGCATCTGGGCATTTGGATTGCAATGAACTTGATTAACACTGTATTACAATGTAATTTAAGTTTATTTAAATCCGATTCCTTGTGATAACGCGCTGATTTAGTAACTATGCCACAATATGGGCTCGCCTAACTGTATTCTAAAAGCAGCATTTACTGACGCATAGCCCATGAAAATGAAGAAGGTAACGGGTTTCAACTAAAGATTAAATCAGGTTACTTTCTGGCACAGAGTCATTTACACCGAGTCATAGCCGGATGTCATGAAGACCCATCAATAAGTGAATAACAGTGCTGCTCTTTTGTCATCACAACAGAGTACTGACATGCAGTATCCTGAAGCTCTCTCTCTCTCTCTCTCTCTCTCAATACAGCTCTGGAAATTGTAAGAGACCACTGCAAAATTATTAGTTTCTCTGGTTGTACT